CTGCCGCTGCCCTGGCCGCCCGCCCGCTGGCCGGGCCCGGTGCCCCGCCGGGGGGCTCCGCGGGCGGTTGGGGTCGGGGAGCCCCTTCCCGGTAACCCGACAGCCTCCCCCCCACCCTGTGCAGGCAAACGCCCGTTTCTAAAACCGACGCTGAGAAGCACCTAATTAAGACGGACTAAAAATAAAGGCCCAGGTCGTAATTTCAGCCTGAACCTCCCGGGCCGGGAGCTGCTTTCTTGGTCACCAAGCACCGGTGGGGAGAGGCAGGTTCCTGTTTGTGTTTGGGTCGCTTTTCTCTCTCGTGTTCCGGTGCCTTTTATTTTTAGGGGAGCTTTTTTGGAGGATGAAATTATCCAGAAAGAAAATTGGTGTCTAATTTGAGCTGCAAACTAGCGTTTGAGGTGTACACCGAGGCGGCCGCAGCCGGAGAGGGGTGGGAGCAGCGGGGGCTCCTTTGGGCGGCCGTTGCCCCCGCCCGGGGGAGCGGGGGGCGGCGGGGGCAGCAGCCCGGTGTGTTGTGATCGTTTCCCCCCTCGCCTTGGGAGCGCAGGGGGGTCCGGGCGCGGGAGGACCCCTGGCTGGGGCCCGGGGAGGGCGCGGGCGGGGACAAAGGTGCGTGTTCCCGGGAGACGGTGGAAGAACGGGAGGCGGAAACCGCCGGGAGAGGCGGAACCGGGAGAGGAGCCCGGGCTTAAGGTGGACTGCGGGCCGAGGCAGGGCCGCGCTTCCCGGGGCTTCCCCGGGGCAAGGGCATCCCGGGCCGGCTGTGCCCAATCTCCCCGCAGTGGGACCCCGGGGGTCCCTGTCCGGGCACTGCCGGGGAAAGGGTCCGCTGGGCAGGGACAGAGCGGCCACAGGGGCAGGAGGTTCCTGTTCAGCGGGGGGTCTGGCATGTCTCCTGCACGGGCCAGACACCCCCAAAACCCCTTTTGATCTTGGGGACAATCCTGTCCAGGGACGAGCTCTAAGATGCCTGTGGCCAGGGTTGGGACACGCTGGGTGGAAAAGCCTCCGTGCCTGGACTGATCCAGCCAGTTGCAGCATCTCTCCAGAGCCGTGCCAGGAGCTGGGGCAGAGGAGAGGGTGGCAGGAGCACGAGCTGCAGGAGGGCAAGGGTTGGAAGCCAAGTGCTTCCCACCGTGCCTGGGCCAGATCCCCCACCAGCATCTCTGGGCACTGGCATCTCCTGGAGCTGGTGTGAGGTGCTGGGACCATCCGGGGCCTGGGGGCCCTTCCCTGCTGTAAAACAGGTTTGCGAGATGCCTGTGCTTGTTAATTCTAATGAGCCAGAGCACCCTGGGGAGTGTGAGGACATGGCATGAGATCAGTCCTGGTGTCCTGCACTGCGGCGGCTGCTCTGGGGGGAGTGGGGCAGCCGTGGGGGCTCTGCAGGTGCCCGGCCATGGCCGTCTCCTGTGGTATCTGGGCGCCACAGGCAGCTGCGAGCTCTGATAGGGCCCTATCAGCAGTGGGGCTGGTGTGCGAGTCCTCCTGCCCTGGGTACAGGCGGCTCGGGATGGTGTCCCCAGAGGGGATCCCTCCCCGGCAGTGGGGAGCAGAGACCTGGGCTGAGGGATGGGGAGACCACACGGCGCCGGGTGCCCGCGTGAAGCCTGAGGACAAGTGTCCCCCAGTCCTCACCCCCTTTCTCCTTTGCAGCTTCTCTGCCCTTCGTCATCCTGACGCTGGTGAACTCCCCCTACAAGCGGGGCTTCTACTGTAACGATGACTCCATCCGCTACCCCTACAAGGCGGACACCATCACCCACGGCCTCATGGCTGGGGTGACCATCCCCTGCACCGTTGTCATTGTAAGGAATCGCCAACCCCATCCCTCCAGGGCAGGGACATCCTGGCACATTGCATCCAGGAGCTGGGTGCCAGCACAGCCCATCTCCAGACCCCCGGCAGGGCAACAGGACCCTCGGGTCGAGCCCTGCTCTTCTAGGGGTCAGGAGGTCACTCTGGGGTGGTGAGACCCATGTCCCACGGGGCTGGTTCCCTACAGGGAGGGGGAGAGGCCCCGTGAACTGCTGTGGCTGGTGAGTGCCGGGGACTCCTCTGCCACAGACCCGAGAGCCGGAGCATCCCATGCCCCTGGTGCTGGGGAGCTGCTCGGTGGCCCCGAGGCCCTCACTCCTTGCCCCTTGGTCTCTGCAGATCTCATCAGGGGAGGCGTATCTGGTCTACACGGAACGCCTCTACTCCAAGTCAGAGTTCAACAACTACCTGGCCGCCCTCTACAAGGTGGTGGGCACCTTCCTCTTCGGGGGGGCCATCAGCCAGTCCCTGACTGACCTGGCCAAATACATGATCGGCCGTCTCCGGCCAAACTTCCTGGCTGTCTGCAATCCCGACTGGTCCAAGGTGAACTGCTCCATCTACGTGCAGCTGGAGAATGTCTGCCAGGGTGACAGCAGGAGCATCACCGAGTCCAGGTGAGCCATGGGGCCACAGGACCTCACCCACCAGACTCCAGATGGGTATCGATGCTCTCCTGCTGCAGGGCAGAGCCTGTGGAGCAGATGGAGAGCTTGTGGAGGGGCAACTGGGCACTGGGGTCTCTCTCTCGAGGCCTGACCTGTCCCTTTTTCCCTGCAGACTGTCCTTCTATTCTGGACACTCGTCCTTTGGGATGTACTGCATGATGTTCCTGGCGGTAAGTGCCATGCTCCGGGTGCACCGTGCTGTGGGAAGGCGATGAGCCCCCGCAGGTCCTGTGCCCTCAGGCAGACCAGTGCCCCGAGCACCCCATCGTCCGGCTGGCTGGTGTCCCCTGCGCTGGGTGATTGCTCCCCCCTTTCCTGCCCAGCTCTACGTGCAGGCCCGGATGGTGGGGAAGTGGGCCCGGCTGCTGCGCCCCACCATCCAGTTCCTGCTCATCGCCTTCGCCATCTACGTGGGCTACACCAGGGTGTCTGACTACAAGCACCACTGGAGCGATGTGCTGGCAGGGCTGCTCCAAGGGGCCCTCATTGCCGTCCTCATCGTGAGTGTCCCCCGTGCCTCCTGATGCTCTGCTGGGTTGCCACCGGCTGCAGCTGAGCTGCTGGAGGAGCCCCCAAACCCTCTTTCCCCTTGGTCTTCTCCAGGTCCGTTACGTCTCTGACTTCTTCAAGCACCGTCCCCCGCGGCAGTGCAACGAGAAGGACCCGGAGCGCAAGCCCAGCCTTCCCCTCACCATGAGCGACCCCGACCGCAATCACTACAGCTACCGGGGCGCCCCGTGAGCGGCCACGCACCGGACTGCAGGCCTGCCCCTCGCACGCACCGCTGCTGCTGCGGGGGGACAGGGATGCTGGCTCTGTATTAGCCGTTGGCTCCACGGCTCCCGTGCCCCCTGCTGCCGCAGGTACCTGCGGGGTGGCCCTGCACCCTCACTCCTGGCTCCCCTGGTGCCCCTGTGCTTGCCGGTGCCCGGCAATCCCAGCATCCTGCCTGCGGGAACGGGAGCTCCTCGGCCCCCTGTGCATCTGAGTCACGCTTCCAGGCTGCCGTCCTGCCCTCTGCATGGAGGAAGGGAGGGGAGGGTGGCACGTGGGGGTGGATTTATCGGGCTGGCAAACCACACCGAGCAAAGAGCAAACTCGTCGGGAAGTCTGAGGTTGCCTGTGCTGAGTTTGTGTTATCCCCGTCAAATTATCCGGCCTTATGAGTACAAATCCTCACAAGCACAGGGGGAGGAGGGCAGCTGCTGGGCTAGCAATACTTTTTTGGAAAGGTTTAAAGCAATCCAGAGCTCTTCTCTCTTCCCTGATTACCTTTAAAAGCAGCCCTGGCTGCCAGCAGCTGATGCAAGCGATGGGCAGGCTTCTCTCCGGTGGTGCCTGATGCTGCAGGGGCTTCCCTGCCTGCCTGCTTCACGCCTGGCTTGGGGCGAGGGGGATGCTTGAGCCTTTCTCTCTCCTGTGGCTTCAGCTGATGCTTTAGGGGGGTGGGGTGGGTAGGTGGAAGGGGAGAAGCTTTCTGTGGTAAAGGAAAATAAATGGGGATGTGGAACTGGAGACAGGACTCCACGGGAAGGTGGGGAATGGGCCATGGAGCAGTCCTATCGCTGACACGCAGCTGCCTCCGGCACTGGAGCACTGTGGGCCTCTTTTTAAACTACACGCATTATGATTATGATATGTTTTTATAAAAGTGTGTTTTTTAAATTAGATCATCCTTAAAGAATGTCTGTGTCAGGCCTGTTCTCTTACTCCATGGATGCTCCTGGCCTTGGAGTAGATGGGCCAAAGCATTTAGAGCTTCCCCTTCTGAGAGAAAGGGGTCTGAAGCCCTTTGCCAGCAGGGAGGTTTGCTGTGCTGGGGGGGCTCTCAGGGCTCCTGAGCCCCCTCTCCTGATTGTGCTGAGGAACTTGGGCTCGATGGGGCCAGTGGGGCATGTGGGGCTGATGGGAGCAACGTCGTACCAGGGGAGAGACCCCTGGCAGCTGTCGGGCTGGCCCCGGCACCCCTCACCCAGCTGCCTGTGAAATGTTGCCTTCGAGAGGCGAGGAGAGCCCTCCCACAGGGGTCCTGTCCTGGCACTGCCTTCGCCCTGACCCCAGGAGCCTCCCGTGCTCCCCAGCTCCGCAGCCGACCTCTGCGAGGGGGGAGGGAAGGCGGGGAGAAGCTCTTGGAAAAAGTGACGTTTTGTGCCTGCAGTTCCCTTGGCTGCTGCCGCTGCCGGAGCCGAGGGAAGGCCGGGTGGTGAGGGAGCCTTGGTACGGCCAGCCCGTGTCCCTCCCGCCACGGGAAGGGCAGCCGTGGGGACAGAGAGGGCCTGGGCTGGGGGGCATGAGGCCCTCCGTCCCCCTGGGGAGCAAGGGGGGATTTGGGGGGCAGCACCCTGGCAGTGCCCCGGCAGCACAAGGCTGGACAGGCTTGAGGCCAGCCTGGGCTGTGTTGGTGCCACTGTGCTGGTACCCCCAGTCCTGGAGTCTGGATCAAGATGGGGGCATCCCAGCTCTGCCCGTGGTGCTTGGGGCCACTCGGGTCCTGCCTGGGGCTTGTTGGAGGTGGGCAGAGCTGCCAACACAGCACCGGGAACCGGAGCCCTGGCTGGACCCCTGGATCCCGGCTGCTCCCTCCACCCAGGCACATCCTTGGCTCCACGGGGTGCTGAGGCCTGGGGACGGGGCCAGGAGCACCTGGGGTCACCCCGGTCCCTCGGGGAGGGGGGGATGGCCGCTCTGGGTGTCAGCTCTGTCTCCAGAGCCTCTTCCTGCCCTGGCCCAGCACAGCCTGGTCTGTCCAGGCTGGGAACAGCAGGCGCCCTGCCGCGCGGTGCCCGTGTGCTTACGCAGTGTGGGTTACTCCAGTCTAGACAAGCCCCAACCAAAAATACCTTCCCTGTGCTGAGGGAACTCCCTTGCCACACGCTGCTTTTCTGTTTTCCTTTGAGAGCTTTCCTCTTGCAAGCCCTTCCCTGGTCCCCCAGCTGGGTCCTTCCCCCTGTCCCAGCCCTCCAGCCTGATTGTTTAAGATCTGATGGTGTAAAACAAAGCTGGGGGGAAGTGCCAGGGCAGGGCTCTCTGCCGCCGGGTTTGCAAACAAAGGCCTGTAAAGCAGCAGCTCCTGGAGTCAGGGCAGCGAGGCAGGGCCCCAGTTTGGGAGCCCATCTCTTTGGGTTTCCTCTGGCCGGTGCCCGGCAGCTGCCCCAGTTCCTGGCGTTGCCTCGACAGCTCCTCTGTGCCGCCAGGAACATGCTGCTCCCTTCCCTTGAGATCTGATTTCGCCCCTTGGATGCATCTCTGGAAAAACCAGCTGGGCCACAATGCTGCAGTGTGTGGCTCCGAGGGGCAGGGCAGCGGCGGGGAGCTCGGTGCTCCTTCGCCAGGCGGACGAGGCTGCCTGCTCACAGCTGTGCCCCTGGGCCGGATGAGGGCTGAGACCCGACCGAATTCATGGCATGCCAAGCCATGAGTAACTGCAGTTGGCGGGAACTCCTGAGCCATGTCTGGACGCAGTGAGGGGTTTGAGGCCCAGCCAGCCCCCGTCCCAGCCCCCTGCGCGCTCCCCGGCCCCTCTCTGGAAGGGGGATGTGGGCAGGGACCTGCCTGGGTGCCGGCACCTCGGCCCCGTGGATCCCAGCAGGGCACTGGGGCAGGCAAAGCAGGTCCAGTTTCTGCTGCAAAGTCTGTGATCCCTCCAGCCCTCGCCAGCCCTGGTCATGGCTGAAGCTGTGGTGTGCTGTTCCAGCTCTGAGCCAGGCCCCGCTGCCTCAAGCCCCCGGCTCTGAGCACCGCTGTGGGAGCTGAGGGTCTAGTGGTGGGGCCCCCCACAGTTTGTGTGCCTCACCTTCCCCATTCGAGGCATGAGGCTGGGTCAAGCCCCACAGGTTGGAGCTGGCAAGAGCTCTCTGCATCCTGCTTTGGTGGAGCCCAGGCGGCTCCCCTTGTGTTCAGGGCGAGCTGTGGCCCTGGGCGCCGCGCTGGCTTGTGAGTGTGGTGTCCAAACCCCTTTGCAGTGGGTGGGTGACTCAGGAGTTAAGGATCCAGTCCCGGCTGTGCTGGGGCAGATTCAGCCCCCAGTTGAAGCCAAGCAGCGTTGGCCCTCGAGGCATGGCTGGGACCTGCTCTCTGAGAGCCGTCCTGTTCCCCAGCGTCAGCAGCTCCATGCATCAAGCGTTCAGCCAAAATGCCTCCTTTCCAAAATAAGCCGTTTCTGGCAGCACTCAGCCAGGCTCTGGCTTCCAGCCCCACTCCAGAGGGGGCCCTGGGCTGCCTCCCCCAACCTGTGCCTCCTGGCTGCCTCCTGCCTTGCCATGCAGCATCCTCCCTCCCCTCTCCCTGGCACCCGGGGCTCCTCCTGCCAATTCCCAGTGCGAACGGGCTTCATCGGGGCTCGTTTGCTCTGGCCCCATCCCCAGGTTTCTTCCTGCTCTTGGCTTCTTTCTCCAGCTGGTTGGGGCAAGAGGCAGGCAGAGGAGCTGAGCTTCCTGGTGCCCGCAGCACGCTTCCAGGAGCGGGCAGAGGCCTTGCCAGGAAGGATGTTACTCATCCCCTAAACATCCCCTTCCCTGGCCAGGAGCCACAGGAGGAGGGTGCCACCAGATGAGCCTGTGGCTGGGGGGTGCGAGGTGGCCCAGGGATGTGCAGGAGGGGGGATGGTGCCCGTGGGGAGCAGGTTGCACCTTCCCACAGGGATGTTTGCAGATCCCTGCCCAAGTGCAGCCTGCGAGGAAGCAGTATGAAGAAGGCTGCCATGATGCAGGGGCCTCTTCTGCTCAGCGTGGAGAGGGCAAAGCTGGGGGGGTCCGGGCCAGGACCCCCAGGCCGCAGTGGCTGGAGGCGGCAGTGCTACCTGGCCTGCCCCTGGGGGGCTCGGGGGGGCCCAGAGGGGCTGCGAGGGAGGGGCTGGTGCCTGGACTGGGCTCCCCGGGCAGCCAATGCCCCGGCACCAGCCTTTGCGTTCCCCGGGGAGCCGCGGGCACCGTCCCACGCACCGTCCCACGCACCGACCCACGCACCGCGGGCGGCGAGTGCCCCGTCCCACCCCACGCCGGGCGCGGGGTCAGCGCGGGGCTCGGCGGGGCGGCGGCGGAGTCCGGAGCACCGGGGAGCGGCGGCGGCCGGCGGCAGAGGGCAGCAAGAGCCCGGCGGAGCCGCGGAGTGAGGCCGGGAG